AGCCAACCTCTAAAGATTCAGAATTGAAATGGCTTATGAATCTTTTTTAATAGGTAAAGATTGAGTACTTACTTGGGACATTGAAATATTAATTAGTACTGCATATTAAATCCATACAACTTCCACAAGATTTTGGTTCTTTGCATTTTGAGTGTTTTTTCAAATATATTAGAATTGTAAATTCAATTTTAAGAGACAATCATTAATGAGACATTTTAGATTTACAATTGAAATGACACTAAAAATTTGTGTTTAAACAAATTTTTTGAGTGCTTACCTTTAAACTATTTATAAAGTCTAAAATTAGCAATCAATTAAATTCGTATATTATATTAGTAAAATACTAAATAAAATACAAAAAAAGTTCATGATCAATAGATTTAATACTCATTTTCAAAAGATTTAATAAAATATTGAAAGCAACATTAAAACCAATTACCCTAAGAATTGAACTGGTACTCAGTAAGTGCTGGCCAAGAAAAAAACTAGCCAAAGATTCAAACACGGCATTACCCGGTTGGAAAGAAACCAGCGCTTCCACTGGACTACCGCGGCTCATTGTTTATCATAGGCTCCTTTTTTTTTATTTATATATAATCTCAATTTAAACCTAATACACATATGGACCTACATCGGGGTCCGTGGGGTCCCGGGACCCCATGGGACTCTTAATAGATCCGCCTCTGCACCAAGCTAACACAGACACACACAGACACAAAGTGTCTGTGTTGCACAGACACTTTGTGTCTGTGTGTGTCTGTGTTGGCTTGGTGTACACTTGGGGTACCCCATGTTGGTGTACCCCTAGCTTAATTCAAAAAAAAAAAAATCACCTTTTTAAATCAAAATAATAACAAAAATGATCCGGGATTAATGATGTTAATTTTAGATTAAAAATTACTAGTCTCCCATGATTTATATTTCTTCTCCACTTATGAAAAAGAATGATACTGGTGTAATAAAGGCTAGCCATAATTTTGGCCCATGCTTTTACGAATATTAATTTGTTCACAAAATAACTCGCGTTGTGGGGTTTTCACTTTTCAGTTGGTATGACTTTGTTTGTTGGGCCTAAATGTTTTGGTCTTTTTTGTTTTTCTACGTTTTTGGGCTTTTGGCCCATTCCTTTTTACTTTTTTATGTTCTCCATATTAATAAAATCTCTGCTTTCTTTAAAAAAATATAAAATGTGATGTTTCAAAAATATACTAAAATGAATCTTATAATGCTCCCTCCGTCTCATAAAATATTTCTTATTTTTTATTTTAAAAATATTTTAGGGGAGTTTATGTTATTGTTGGATTTTCAAAAATGTTTTTGGATGTGATGAGCAAAAGTAGGAAGTGATTGGTAGGTTAATAGTGAAAAAGTGTGATATGTTAGGTAGGTTAAGAATTGGTAGGGATAAATGTGAATTTTTAATAGAAATGAGAAATATTTTTTGGAATGGATGAAAAAAAGAGAAGGCTTTTGTAGGACGGAGAGAGTATTAAATTGACATTTTAACCGGTACTTTATGAGCTAAATTATTTTAAAATTCATAAACATTGACTAAAAAGCAATTATAAGAAATACATTGAAAGAGCAGGAGTACATTAATACACACCCGAAGATTGGAAGCAATATAACAATGTAACATTACTTAACGTCCATAATCACATAACTTCAAATGTAGTTTCTTAATAGCGTTGTTAATATTAGTGCATACAATACTCACTCACCAAGTTTATATTTGCATTTGCTGTAATCTATCTTGTGTAATTTTCACAATAATAATATATCTTTTTTGTCATACATAATTTCAAAGGCTGTTCCGTTTGCATCGTTTGTGAATTACAGTCGCTTTCTACTACAACCATAGTCTACAAATATCCGCTTAACCAATATCAGAATACGTCACTAAACATAATTTTGATGTCAAATTATACTTTTAGTCTTTAAATTAACACCAACACAACAGAAGATCAAAAAAAGATCATTTGTGGAAAGGTACCCTTTTAAAAAGGACTACGGGGGTAATATTTGATAATAGAGGACTAAATATGGAAACCCCCTATTATGAAAGACCAATTATGGAATTTACTCAGTTTCTTAATAGCGTTGTTAGTATTAGTGCATACAATACTCACTCACCAAGTTTATATTTGCATTTGCAACATAAAGAAACTCACTTAACTAGCTTTGTCAAATTCCTCAATACTTATTAGCTTTTCCACTCCCAATCTACATGCATCCTCCTCGATATATGGTGCTTCCTTGTCGTCGCTCTTCGTGTCATGGCCCACATTTCCTTCTTCGACTTCATCCAGATGAAGCAGCAGTTTGACACTCCCCGACAAATTCTTTCTAAAATCACTAAGAGGTCTCAGACTTTGATAACGCGTTGAGAGACAGTGACACATCGGGAGGTATGTACTATAACCAAACGCGTTAGGCTTTATTAGGTTGCCATAGTAATACGGAACACGAGCCTGAGCCAAGCCACAATAATGAAAGGATTGAAAGCTTCCAGTCCTCGGCTCAGCAACCTTCGCCTCCACGCGTTTATTCTTCAAATAGTGGACGCGGTTTTCCAATGAATTTCGTACACCTTCGTTTGAGTCAAAGGTGACAAACCCGAACCCTCTTGTGGGATGAATATCCGTGTCGGTAACTGTACCATAGTTCTCAAAGTACGCTTTGAGTTCCTCGTTTGTGAGGTCCATTGGTATGCCGCCTACAAAAATCTTGGTATCTTGGCATGAATCATTGTTTGAGCTCTCACCAATTTCATGAATATGTTTTTGCTGACCATTGTAAGAAGGATGTATGAAGCTCTTGGGAATCGCCACCTTCACCTCCACCTAGGCACATACAAGCTAATTACATTAGGCATATAATACTTCATCAAATATTTGCAAGACTATATATAATAAACATGCTATGGTGTACTCGAAAGTAATAAAATGTTTCATGTTGATTAGATTAAGAATTCATTTTGTTGTGACTTACGATTCACTGTCTAGTTTTCAGAAATAATCAGTTTTAAATTCCCCAAAACTACGAAGTGATTATTTATACATAATTTACACTTCGTCTGTCAACACAAATGAATATGATGTGCATATGTATAAAATTACCTGAAATGTCAGGTAATCATACTGTCATTTTTAATAGAGATTTATATGCTCTTTTAGCAGAAATAAATGGGTTATGCTACACTTACACCACAAATTGTACCCCATTTGTACACCGCAGTTATACACAAACATTTTGATGGTTTACACCGACACAAGTGTTGGTGCGTTAACAAAAATTTACACAGACACAAAGTGTTGGTGCATTAATAAAAATTAGTTTTACACCAACACAAAGTGTTGGTGCAAAGCTACGGGGTACAAAGTGGGGTACAAAACATGGGGTACAAATAGCTTTACCCGAAATAAATTGTTCATTTTCACGGTCACTTGTCTAAAATAAATTGGTCACTAACTTGTAAACAGTGTACATTACTTTAGTAATGTACTCCCTCTCTCCTTTAATGTTCTTCCCTTATTGACTTTTATAAAATCTAAGAGAGATGAGTAAAAATAGGATGTGATGGATTGATTATTAATAAAAAGATATGATTGAGGGTAGGATAAGAATTAGTAAGAGTAAAAGTGGTTTTTTAATAAATAAAGAAAGAAATTTGTGAGACAAGAAAAAAAATAAAGGAAAAAGAGTTTAAGGGAAGGAGAGAGTATGATTATAGGATATTATTACTTTTAATATTTTCTAGTTGAGTGTTTCCCTTAAATATCATCAGGGCCGGTCCCGAAAAATGAAAAAATAAAACTGGCCCGGTCCAAAATTTATATTTTGTGCTCTATTTTATATTTTTAGAATACTATTGCTTTAAAATTATTAACAAATTTAAAAATATGGTGCCCTAAATTTTAAAGGGCCCTGTGCGGTTGGCCACTTTGCACACCCTTCGGGCCACCCATGAATATCATTCCCCTTCAGTTTTGGACTCCCAACAAGAGTACAAAACGAGCTTTTAGTAGTTGCCGCCCTTTTGTGTGATATTTACAAGAAATATTTCCACTAAATAGCACTAAAACTTAAATCATATCCCTAAATAACACTTAAATTGTTTTATTCCCTAAATACGGAATAGCACTTAGTAATGTCTATAATGTCCAGTGATGATGAATATTTGCTTGAATAATGACTAATGCATAATGACTAAAAGTGCTACATTGGGAAGAAAAACACATGTGATGCTATTTAGGAAAAATCATTATGTTTTAGTGCTATTTAAGTAAATTTACCTATTTACAATACCCATTTAAATAAATTTCCTCTTTAAATAACTTAATTTCTGCTAATTTTATTTACTAGAACTGATTAAAAACGAGATGATGATAAATTGAACTAAAAATAAATTTTAATCAATTGTTAAATAAATCACCTATTTAATATTCCCTCCTTCCCACAATAATTTACAATCTCTATTATTCAAAAGTTAAGAGAATTTTTAATTTATTTATATGTTTCCATTGATTATTCGATGAATAAAATATTCTTGTCATTTCTTGTTCTATAGAATTTTTTTGTGTACTTTTTAAATATGTACATTTTATTTTATATTTCTATACTTATCTTTTAATAAAATGAATTGACAAAGTTAAAATTTTATTTCGTTTTACATAAAACGTACTACCTCCGTTTCTCAAAAGAGTTCCTCTTTTGACTTTGGGGGAAAATAAGGAAGTATTAAATTGTAGTTGACTTTCCAATTTTGCCCTTGATGTGATGGGTAAAAGTAAGATGTGATAGTTTAGTTGTTAGTGAAAAAGTATGATGTGATAGGTAGGGTATGAAAAAGTAGGGGTAAAAGTGGTTTTTTAATAGAAAGGGGAAATGTTTTAAGAAAAACAAAAAAAATGAAAGAGGAAGGGTTTTAAGAAACGGAGGGAGTAATACATTTAAGCACGAACAGAGTAAAAAATAGTGGCAGTATCACTAATCAGCCTTCGAATATGATACCTAACTTTGAATGAAATAAGGCTTATGCATCTTTGATACGTGAGAACGTAACGCGGAAGGACTTCGAGTGCCTTCGTACTCCAAGGGATTTTAGGGTTTTGATTATAATTCGATGTCCTGTAGAACAAGTACATCCTCTATTTATAAGAGGTAGAGGAATCCCAATCCTACTAGAACTAAGTTAACTACCCTGTCGGTTCAATAAAGGCGTCAAGGGAAAGAACCAAAAAGAAAACCCTTGAAGGAGCCTATAACCGCTCACCTACGAAAAATCTATTACATAAAAATATATATACGGAGTAATTATAAATATTAAATAGACTACTTTAGTACGTAATCTCCCTGCCATGCTGGAACTCTTCTCTCTCGCTGCCCCCTTCGCACCGTGCTTCCCTGCTGATTAGCCCCAGCCTCTTCTTTCGTAACAATCTTATAAAAAAATCCTCAGAGTTTTTTTAATTAAAATTATCCAGCAAAGCCGATCTTATGAAGTACTCTCTTAGATCTTTTCGTTTTGATTTTTTATGTTTTTTAAGGAGAGTCGAAAAAAAGTAAAAATTTACCAAAATACTCTTAATGGAAATGGATGGAGTGTATTAAATGAGGTGGGTGTGGTTTTATAAATAAAGTAAGTATGCGTAATTGTGATATTTTAAATATTACGGAGTACAAAGGTTAATAAGAAGATATATATGAGACAAATAAAAAGGGTTAATGGAAAAATATATGGGAGACGGAGGGAGTATAATATATGAGTTGCAAAATATCTGACAAAATCTTCTGATATCTAAATTGAATCACCACTTATTTTTTTATTGATTGTACTTTACTAAAGAGTTGAACATTTGTAAATATCAACATACAAGTTTTAATGTGGCCATTAATATATTAAACAAAACCAAAAATTAGCCATTTTCGTGAATTAGCCACATATATTTTCAAAATTTTGGTTACAAATAGCTTGTAAATAGATTACTTTTTAAAATAAAATATTGAGTTACTTCTTAGTAGGGGTGGACACGGTACGGTTCCGGGACGGTTCCGGTTCCGGTACCGGCGGTTCCGGTACCAGACCGGCCAGTTTCGGCCACCCCCAATTTTCTTTTTTTTTTTTGCTTTTTTATTAAATTTTTAAAGTGTAAAATTGTAAATGTGCTATTGTTAAAGAAAAGGATGAAATAAAAAAAATTAAAAATGAAATTGATAAAGGAAAGAATGAAATAAAAAAATAAAAATAAAAAAAAATAACAACGGTACCGGAACCGGAACCGCCGGTACCGGTACCGAAAATTGGGTACCGGAACCGGTACCGGAGCGGGCGGTACCGGTACCGGTTCCCGGAACCGGTGGAACGTCCCAGCCGGCGGTGACGGTGGCGGGTACCGGCTGTACCGTTGCAGGTCATGGTACCGTACCGGTACCGTGTCCACCCCTACTTCTTAGTTGATATTTTGTGTACATTACCGTATTATTTAAGGAAAAAACCTAGAAGCAGAGACACACGGACACTTATGGGGGGTTTGTTTTTTCTGCAGGAAAAGGTCTGCAGTCTGCGGACCACTACTGTAGACATCTGCTGGAGAAGTGGTGAACCGAAGGTCTGCGGAAGAAGACTGTTTGTTTTTTAATGTATGTAGATTGCTATATAAATTAATGGTAGTAGTGTACGGTGGTGGTGTATGGACGATTGCGGTGGTGGTGGAGGGTGGTGGTGAAGGGTGGTGGTGGACGTTGACGGCGGTGGTGGTGGACGATGGTGGTGGTGGCAGTGGATGGTGGCGGTGGTGGTGGACGACGATGGTGATGGACGGTGACGGTGATGGTGGACGGTGGTAGTGGTGGACGGTGGCGGTGGACAGTTGTGGTGGTGAAGAGAAGTAGAAAAAAAAAAGGAGAAGATGTTAGAAGATGTTAGAAGACATGGGTTAATGTCTTCTCCAAGAAAATGTCAGGAAGACCTTTTTGAGTGAAATGTCTTCCAAAAAACAAACAATCTGCAGAGCCTATCATCTGCACGCGTCTGCGCGGCGCAGACAAAAGACGTCAGAAGGTCTTCTGGCAGAAAAACAAACACCCCCTTAATTTCTGTGTGTGTCTGTGAGAAGATGGTGTACATCTCGAATACACCAACTTCGGGTACCCCAGCAAACCCCTCATTATTTAAACCAAAACTCACCCGTAATTTGTAAAGAATTTGCATTGACAATATATCAACTAAATAAACAAATATAAAGTAGAAGTTTTATTTATTAGAACTAATTAAAAGCTTGATAATAAATTGGATTGAGAATTTTAATTAATATTGAAGAAATTTTCCTTGTCTTGGAAAATAGGTTTAATATAGCCAATCATTCTTCGAAGAACATGCATGATACTCCTAAGGCTTATGTATAGTACCAAAAAACATGGATGAAACCTAAAAATTGGACGAAACAAGAATTATGTATCCTACAATTAAGTACGTATTAATTCTGAATGTCCATTGAAAAACCCTAATGCAGAGTATGTACGTGTTTAATTGTCTTTTGAATAATAAAATCCAAGAAAGAATAAATTAAAATAAGATTAATTCAATGAAAGTGTCACCTTTTTTCCAAGAATGGCGTGATCTTCCTGCAAGACATGTCCTAAGACAACATGATCAACACACAACACGACAAAGCCGAATCCCCGGCTTACGTTGGTAACCCGATTCCTTACGATCTCGGAGCCGATTACTTCACCGTATTTGCGAAAATAATCCCTCAGGGTTTCTTCGTTGGCAGCGTGCGACACGCCGCCAACGAAGAGCTTGGTGGTGTTATTCTTGTTAGTCTCCATTAGAATATTAGTGAAGATGGAGAACTTCCAAATATATAGCACCTAGAATTCCAATTCTGGATTAGTTGATGAGTCCGTACTAAATTTACAACATTAATCTTTTTTGGAAAGATGTAATAATATGATTAATGGTTTGTTTTGGATTTTAAAGGAGTGTTTAAAATAAAAATTCGAAAACTTTGAATTCCGATACAGTACATGTAGTCCAATTTCCAGTCATGTTAGGAAATTTTTAAAACTTACGGATCGAGGAGTATATCTGTTCTTTTTTCTTTTTTCTTTTTTTTTTTTTTTTGAAAACAAGAGTGCATCTGTTTATTTGCCTGTTTTTTTTTGAAAACCTTTTTTTTATTAATTTGATAAAAAAATAAATACTTGAATATATCATTTGATATTTTTTACCGAGTAGAATTTTTCAGATAGTATTTAATCCCGTATAAAAATTACTCCCTCCGTCCCAAAAAGTTTTTCCTGTTTCATTTTTTGCGCATCCCATAAAACACTTCTACCGACATCTAAAATGTCTAAAATTTACAACATTTCTTCTTTATTGTGGGTAGAAATTATTTTGAAAGTTTTTTGGCATTCAAGGTGGGATAGAAGTGTTTTATGGGATGCGCAAAAAATGAAACAGGAAAGACTTTTTGGGACGGAGGGAGTAAAAAGTTTAATTTTAATGAATATAACTCCCTTTACTCTATAATCATCTTATACTCTGGTTGTCCCAAAATTTGTTTCCTCTTTTCTTTCAAGAAAAAAAGTTCGAGTGATCCTTATCATTTCTCTATCCCTCTATACAGAAACACATAACTTTGACTTTATTAAAAACTATTAGGAAGTATAATTAAATTAGGATACTACTTTCCTTTCCTATTAGGATTATTCTTTCCTTTCCTACTTGTACTTTGATTACTCTTGTATTCCCTATATATAGGGCCATATCTCTCAATATTCAATAAAACAAATTATTATCAAATTGTATCATGGTATCAGAGCTAAGGCTCTCAAAAAACTAGCCTCACTTTTTTTTCCGGCTGTGCCCTTCGCCGGCCTCACTCAACATGGCAGCCCCATCGGATCCTTTGGCCTCTTTACCCTCCGGAGTAAAACTTTTGCTTCGGAGTCTCCACAATTTAATCCCTGAAAAACTCACCGAAACAAATTATCCAACATGGTCTCTCAATGTCCAAACCGCTCTTTCAGCTAATCTCCTCCTTGGATGGATTGATGGTCATGAAGCAGCCCTGGCGCCAACCATCTCCAAAAACGATCAAACCGTCCCTAATCCGGAGTATACCTCCTGGAACATCATTGACACACAGATCCGTGCCTGCCTCCTAGCAGTCATCAGCCCCTCCGTTCACAAACATGCTCGCGGCTTCACCACATCTGCTGCCCTCTGGGATGCTTTGGCCGCACGGTACAATTCTGTGTCCACCGCCGGCTCATATTTATCAGCTTCGGGACAAACTCCACACTCTTCGTAAAGGTACCAAAACTATGGCACAATACCTTGATGATGTGGCAACTATTCTCTCGGATCTCGATGTCTTGAAAGAAGAGATTCCTGAACGTGATGTGGTGAATGCTGTTATTCGTGGTCTTCCCACCGAATACTCATCCTTTAAGCAAAACATTCGCATGAACAACACCAATATTTCGTTAAATCAGCTTTCTGGATGGCTAATCTCTTAAGAAATAAACCTGGAGGTGGAGAATAAACTCAGCCTCACCGAGTCTACCATCACCGAACCTCGCACAGCACTTCTCGCTACAAACGGTCGAGGTCGCGGTAGAGGAGGCTACCGCGGTCGACCGTCCCCTGGACGTGGATACAACAGCGGACGTGGAGAAAGGAACAACGGTCGACCGTCCCAGGGAAACGGTCGACCGTCACGGGATCTGCCAACCTGCCAAATCTGCGAAAAACGAGGTCACTCTGCGTCTGCGTGCTGGTATCGGTTTGATGATTCTTATACTGCGAACTCCTCCTCCAGTGCTCCCCGTGCAATGCATGCATCTACGAGTAATCATTCTAGAAACTGGTATCTGGACACTGGTGCCAACACCCATGTCACGTCCGATTATTCTCAGCTACAATCTCCTCATCAATACGCCGGTACTGATGCTATTACCATAGGCAATGGCCAATCCCTACCCATCACACACTCTGGCTCAGGTTTTGTACATACACCTAATGGTAAATATCACCTTTCTACTCTTCATTATGTCCCTTCCCTTACCTCCAATCTATTGTCTGTCCATCGATTTACCAAAGATAACAACTGCACCCTTGTTTTTAATGCCAATGATTTCTAGATAGTGAACAATCCTACCAACCAGGTGCGGTACAAGGGCCTTTGTGAGCATGGGTTATACACACTTCTTTCCAAACTCCCAACCATTGCGTATCAAGCTATCCAAGAGTCCACTTGGCATCGTAGACTCGGTCATCCAGCTCCTGCGATTGCCAAATCTATTTTGTCTTCCTTAGGTTTTCAGTTTTCAGAACCTTTACATTGTGAATCATGTTATGTCTCTAAGTCCTGTCGTTTACCTTTTGAATTGTCTAAACATAAGGCCATAGCGCCCTTTCAATTAATACATTTTGATGTTTGGGGTCCCACCTCTGTTCCTTCCTGTAGCGGCTTTCGATTTTATATCTCTTTTGTTGATAATTTCAGCAAATTTACCTGGATTTATCCCCTAAAACATAAATCTGAAGCTTACTCTGTTTTTGTGAATTTTGAAAAAATGATTAAAACTCAGTTTAATTCTCACATCAAAATTTTTCGAAGTGATAATGGCAAAGAATTTGTAAATAATGCTTTTGGCCTTTTCCTTCAAACTTTAGGAGTCCTTCACCATACCTCTTGTCCCTACACTCCTGAGCAAAATGGGGTCGCTGAACGGAAACACCGTCATCTCATTGAAACGGTTGTTTCTCTTCTATACGATTCTGCTCTCCCGACTACCTTTTGGGTCGAAGCTCTTGCCACAGCAAACTATCTTATCAACCGTATGCCCACCAAAACTCTCTCCAACAAATCTCCCTTTGAAACTCTTTATAGCCGTCCTCCTACATATACCCACCTTCGTCCCTTTGGTTGCTTGGTCTATCCATGGCTCCGCCCTTACACTAACCACAAACTTCAACCACGCTCCACTCCTTGTGTCTTCTTAGGATATCACCCCACCACTAAAGGGTATAAATGCTATGAACCCGTGTCTCAACAAGTTTATGTCTCTCGTCATGTTCGGTTCGTCGAGGATCAATTTCCATATCCCAAATTGTCATCCCTCCCGTCACCCTCTCCTATAACCCCTATTTTTCCTCCAAGCCCAGGCTCACATGCTCCTGTCCCACCGACGGTCCAACCCCAGACCCGTCCCACCAGTCACGGTCGACCGCCCGACACCCTCCCTATGGACACGCCACAAACGGTCCAACCCCAGAACCGTACCCCAACCCACCCTCGACAGTCACTTACTCCTCCCCAAAACACAGCCGATTAACCGACCCCCGCCCCAAAACACACACACCATGCAAACCCGAGCCAAATCTGGAATTTTTAAACCTAAAGCCTATACCATTACCACCCTTGATACTACCCCACCTACCACTGAGCCTAGCACTTACCGCCAAGCCTCTGGTAATAGTTTTTGGTGTCAGGCTATGGATGAGGAGTTTATTGCTTTGAATGAGCAACGTACATGGGACTTGGTGCCACCACCCAAGAACCGCACTCCGATTGGTTGCAAATGGGTGTATCGCATTAAACGGAATGCTGATGGATCTGTTTCAAGGTATAAAGCTCGTCTTGTCGCAAAAGGTTATCATTAGGAGTATGACATTGATTACAAGGAGACATTCAGTCCTGTGGTCAAGCAACAAACAGTGCGCCTGGTCCTCTCTTTAGCACTTAACCGTGATTGGCCTCTTCATCAACTGGATGTTAGCAATGTCTTTCTTCACGGTACGGTGGACAAGGAAATTTATATGGAGCAGCCCCCGGGGGTACATAAATCCCACTCATCCTCACTATGTTTGCAAGCTCCACAAGTCACTATATGGTCTCAAACAGGCACCCCGTGCATGGTACACACGCCTCTCCTCTTTTTTGCAGGGCCTTGGATTCAAGTGCTGCATTCATGATACCGGCTTGTTCACCAGACACTGCTCTCGTGGGACTACTGTTGTCCTTATCTATGTTGATGATATTGTCCTCACTGGCAGCTCTTCTACTCTCATCTCAGAAGTCACTCAGGCCATGCACCGTGACTTCAAGCTCAAAGAACTTGGACCTCTTCATTACTTCCTTGGCATTGAGGTTCAGCGCATGCAAGATTCTATGCTTCTCCATCAATCCAAATATGCCCGTGATCTTCTACGCCGAGCTGGGATGTCCGACTTTCATCCGGCTATTACTCCTATGGCTACGAGACCTATCACTAAGCCTTCGTTGCCTTTCAAGGATATCTCTCATTTTCGGAGCATTGTTGGCGGTTTACATTACTTGGTTGTCACCCGTCCAGACATTCAGTATGCTGTTAATCGAGTGTCTCAGACTATGCACAACCCCACTGAGCAGGACTATCATGCCTTACAACGCGTTCTGCGCTATCTCAAAGGCACTTTGAATCGTGGTCTTCTTTTTTGCAAGGGGGATTCGATCTATCTGTCTACTCTGACTAGGCAAATGATAAAGATGATCGCAAGTCCACCACGGGCTACATACTCCTACTCGGTCCAAATATCATCTCTTGGTGCACGAAAAAGCAGACTCGTGTTTCTAGATCATCCACTGAAGCTGAATATCGAGCTATGGCGGCAGGGGTTGCAGAAGCTATGTGGCTTCGATATATCACTGTTGCACTGGGTATTCCTCCGTCCAAACCGAAGTTATACTGTGACAATGAGTCGACTATCTGTGTCACCAAAAATTCGGTTCTTCATGATCGCATGAAACATGTGGGCACAGACTGTCACTTTGTACGAGATGAGGTTATGGCTGACACTATGACTCCACATCATGTCTCCTCTTCAGAGCATCTAGCAGACATTCTTACTAAACCGCTTCCGTCAGTTCCTTTTGAGTACTTATGTTCCAAGCTGCCCCTCGTCTCCGTTGATCAGCTTGCGGGGGATATTAGGAAGTATAATTAAATTAGGATACTACTTTCCTTTCCTACTAGGATTATTCTTTCCTTTCCTACTTGTATTCCCTATATATAGGGTCATATCTCTCAATATTCAATAAGACAAATTATTATCAAATTGTATCAAAAACACGTGCCAACTCAAAGAGAAAGGGAAGAAAATCCAATCAGATCTGATCAGATTCAATCATATCATATCAAAGTTAATCAGATCATATCAAGTTATTATGAAAAATGTTAAAAAATAATGTTAATATATATTATGTCTATGATTAAATAATACGTAGTACATAATCATGTGTGATCTTGTTTGATTTGTCTTAACATATAGATTATTAATATATAATTTCTATAATTTTTTAATATACAAATTACAAGATAAAATGGATTAAAGAAGTGTATTGGATGGTGTGTAAAAATGAAAGTGGACAAATACTCTGGGACGGAGGTAGTATATGACTAAATCATGTTATATTGTTTAATGTTGCATATAATTAAATAATAATTACTACGAAGTATTATAATGTTTAATACAATTAAATAATAATAATTTTATTTATGATTAAATAATACTCCCCCCCAATTATTTTGAGACATGGGCCGGGGGAGTGTTATGGAAATTAAGAAATGTGAGTTTGTCTTATTAATATTAATGTTAACAAGTAAGACAATGTAATAATAGTTGTACTGTGAATGACACAAATATGTCTAAATTCGAATTGAGGCAAAAATAGAGAGACGGATAGAAAAGGTAAAATGAGAGGACGACAATAGAAGAGAGCGAATACTTATGATTGTTATTACTATTGTTATTACTATTATTACTATAAAATAATAATTATAGTAATTAGAATAATAATAATAATAATAATACTCCGTAATAATAATAATAATAATAATAATTATTATTATTATTATTATCATTACTACTACTCCCTCCATCTCATATCTTTCTTCCTAGAAACTATTACGACATCTCGATAACTTATGTTTGTATGTATGTTTTAATTGATCATTTAGGAAATAAAATATTCATGTCACCTCTTGTTTTATGTAGAACCTAACTTTTGATGTAGTTTTGAAATGTGTAATTTTTATTTTTATTTTAGAAACAATTTGTAAATAAAATTATTTCAAAAGAAATGAGATTTTGTACGTTTTTTGAAATGAATAAATATATGGGATAAAGATTTAAAAAGTATAGAAATGATATTATATTGAAAAACTAAATGTTACAGAGTAAAAGTGGCAATTTTTTAGAAGGGAATTTTGAGTACAAATCCTTATCCTTTATCTTTTATATTACTATCATAATTGAGATCGATTCACTTCACAAGAGGGTAGATTGACATGTGAAATATTCACTTGGCAATTTTTAATGGGAAAATATTGAAATAGGAGTATATATAATACGGAGAAAATAATAAAATGGAGTTTCATGTTTTTCCCAAAATAGAAGTTACAATGCCAATAATATCAACATATCACCAAAAAACATTTTGAATTCACAATATACTATGCTACAATGTCACAGTGCAAAATTATATTTCATCGATAAAAATATAGAACTCTTATTTTGGGGATAAGAGTTCTGTTTTACTCTTAATTGGGATGATTTCTTACTTTTGACATATCACTATACTATATAATTAGGCCTTTAAACTAAAATAATGATTTGACATGTAATTGTTAGTCGCTGTGCCCACGCCTTAGAGGAGGTGGGGGGGATAAGGCATTCAAAAACTTTTTCAGAGTTTAATAAAATTAGTGTTGGCAAATGAGGAAGCAATAGATAAAACGCATAAATAAAAGCATAAAGTAAGAACACACCAATTTAGACTGGTTCGGGAACTCCCTACTCCAGTACCTTAAGGCTCTTCCTTAAGGATTTCCGAATCCTCTAAGTCGTGATATCTTAAACTCCGTCAAAGCACCGCACTAGTTTGGCAAACAACCCTTGCCAATAGGATATACTCTGATATTTTACAATGGCTATCTCGAACTGCTTACAATAAAGATTTCACAGTTATCTTCAACGTTCCTCCAAGGATTTGAAGGCCATCCTTGAACCTTTTACTTAGGATTTCTCGGCTATCCTTAACCGTTACAACTTGAGAATTTAACGGTTGTTCTCAATCGTAAAAAGGTGTGTTTGAAGAACACAAAACTTGATTCTACACAGCAGCTTAATCACAAGGATGAAGAACAAAACTTAGCCAGTGTAGAACAAAAATTGTTTGTTCCCAAGAGTCTGTGTCTATGTAATTTATGTTGGCATAATTTTTTGACAAAATCTATTTCTATAGTATCGTTAGAATGTACATTTTGTGTCTGAGCTGTAGCATCCTTATCAAGAAAACCATGGCTTAGTGAAGTGTTATTATACATCAAGGACTCCTATCACTCGAGACTCCTATCACTTCGGGCTTTGTGAAGGGTTTCGTGAAGTACTATGCGGCAAGGGTTCTTGTCTCTTGGGTACTCACTAGCTACGTGATGTATATGAGTATCGTGCTAATTTTGCAGAAGCAGTCCAGGCGCAACAGAACTCTCTGGTACTCAATCTTATCATCAAGGAGTTCCAGTTTGCCTCCACTATGGTCATGCGTATGGTGTATATTTAGACACATATGGAAGACAATCAGGAGAGACTCTGCGGGCTAATATTCATACATCATAAGAGAGAGAGGGCAAAAGAAAGTTAATCAGATTATACACCTGTGAGATTTTCATGAGAACATCAACCATGGATCTTCTCTAAAGTTGTTCACCTGTAGAATATTGATTGGCTGTGCAAAGGTCAGTGACACATCCTTTGTGCAGAGCAAGAAGAAGGTGTAGTAGGCCTGGAATGACACAAACCAAGTTTGTTGTTAGATCACGTAAGTAGACAAGTCAATTCAGTAGAAGGATCGGTTGAGATTGATTGTGTAATTCTTATGTTGATCTAGTGGAAAGGCTATTACACGGATGTGGGCCTCGTAGACGTAGGAGATTCAGCTCCGAACTGCGTAAACAAATCTCTATGTCTTTACTTGCTTTTGGTGTGTGTGTTTGCACTGGTGTTAGAAAAGGTACTGTAGCATTCTGTGGTACTAACAGTTGAGCTACAACACAATTTCCAACAACATCTTGATTGTGTTACTGGTGATTCTATTTGTTAAAATACTATGCTGTGCTTGTGGAAATTTCAATTGGTATCAGAGCCGGTGAGCTTATCTTGCTAGCTTATAACTATCACAAATAATGGGAGACATGGAGGAAGGAGCTAGTGTTTAAAGGTCACCCTTGCTACGTGGTCACAACTACAGCTTCTGGATGGGACGAATGACAGCATTTCTGAAATCACAAGGAGGAGGAGTCTGGCGAAGTGTTGAAACTGGTTGGAAAGAACCGGTAAAATTTTCATAAAATCTGTCATCCTCAACCATCAAGCCATTTGAAAAATACAGCATTACAAATACCACAAGATACAAATATAACGTTTGCGAATTATCGTCACAAATTGTAGGTTTTCATCCTACAATGTTTTACTCTTTGGAAGTTACTCAAGGGGCCGTTGTCTTAGGGCAATATCCATTTTGACTTTTTGTCTCGGATCTGAACGTATTTCAGGACAGTGAATCCAACTGTTCACGAGTCTCGATATGTCACATCGTCAACAGATTTTAGTATTAGTGAGTGTGTGTTCATTTGTAGGTAAATCAAAGCTATTATTTTAGCGAATCCATTTTTCTGTACGTATTTCGGCTAGTGATAATTAATTACCTTTCTATCAATGGTCAGGTTTCAAAAGCTATATATATCACGATTGTGGCAAGAGTATCTCACATTATGGAAGGAACTTCTTGAGCTCTTCCTTACACCATAAAATCGATTGGTCTTCTTGGCAGTCATGCTCTTGGTAGGAACCCAAAGTTCATGGCTATGGCGATAGATTTAGGAAGAGAATTGATAAGGCATTGTGTGGAAAAATTATGAAGTTCTTGATACGAATCAAAAAAATGTATTTACTGCGACATGATGATTGATGAGTGTTGGGTTCAGGTCGGGTCGGGTAAAATCTCGAACCCAAAGTTCGGTTTGATTTTTTGGGGTCGAGTTTGGATTTTTAAATTTTGGGTTCGGATTCAGATATTTTAGTGTTCGGTCGGCTCGGTTACGATATGATTGGGTTCAGATTGAATTGTCATCTCTAAGTGGTACCAAATTGGGAATATCAATAACTTTTAGTACTATTCTCGACAAATTTCTCTTAACAATAAAGACTTGGAAGGACAAATTTCTAAGAATCAGTTTCGAAGCTATCTTTCGTGAACAAAACAAGGTTGCGGATCATCTTGCTAACCTTGGTGCGTGCTTTTCAAGATATTGTATGGAAAACTTGAGATTCTTACTACGAAGAAAAAAAATTATTTAGTGACGACATGATGAGTATCACCTCTTACCACTTTATAAAAAAAAGTTTTATCCTTCACTATAAGAAAAGTAGTACTTGGGTAATGTTTTTTGACCTATAGTAAAAGAAAAGTAGTACTGGGTTAGCACACCGTTTACGGAGTATTGATAAGATGACTTATGACAAGGTTCTATTCACTTGCCCTGTCAATACGTAGTACTCCCTCCCTTTCTCAAAAGAATTCCTTTTTTGACTTTGAAGGAAAATAAGGAAGTGTTAAATTGTAGTTGACTTTCCAATTTTGCCCTTGATGTGATGGGTAAAAGTAAGATGTGATAGTTTAGTTGTTAGTAAAAAAGTATGATGTGATAGGTAGGGTATGAAAAAGTAGGAGTAAAAGTGGGTTTTTAATAGAAAAGGGAAGTGTTTTAAGAAAAACAAAAAAAAAATGAAAGAGGAAGGGTTTTAAAAAACGGAGGGAGTACTTAGGTAATGTTTTTTGACCTAATCGGAATAATTTTTAGTTTATTGAAATATGTTCTGACATTATCTGATTTTAATGTAATTATATTTAAAACTGTTTACAATCTGAATTGATTTGGTCTATTCTAATCTAATCTGATTTGAACTGATTCTAATAAAAAAAGTAATAAATAATAAAAATAAGTTGAAGCAAATATAATCTAAGATATGTCCAAAGAAGGCACAGTTCCAAACTTCCCGTTCCATGTGGGTGCCGGAATCGTCCCGGCAGTTCTCGGACCTTTCAATTTTATTGAATTTTAACACAATCATCTCTATTGTCCAATCTCAATTCTCTACAATATTTACTTACGGAGTATATCGAAATAATAGGTTGGAATAAATTGAGGTATCAACACACACACACAAGGAAAACTCTCTAATCTTTAATCTACCTTGTACTCGTACATTTGAGCTTAATACGCTTTAGATCTATAGAAATCATCCTAAATAAGACTAAAACATAAAGAAAAGTGCCAAAATATGACTTTTATGTTTTTTTCTTGAAATAGAACTTTGCACTGTGG